AGGCCCCGTCTCAAAAAACAAAACAAGACCAAAAAACAACAAAACAAAAACAGAGAGAGAGAGAGAGGGAACCTGAATCTTCAGCGGTTAGTCCTTATATGGTTTAGTGGTACATGGGGCTATTTTTGTTACCTATAATTAAACCACCTCATTACCAATAGCTAGAGCAGAAGCAGCGTCCTTACCCCTTGTAGAGCGGAAAGTCCTCATCTTTCCTGGTGGTTTAATTTTGGTTGTCAGTTGCCAACCACTGACTATTCTGCACACCAGGCAGCATGCCCTGTATAGAACACACATCTTCCCAACCCCTGGAGGTAGGCATTCGTCTCTTTAGAAGGAAGCCCCTAAGGCAGAGTAGGCCGATCACTAGCCATCTGACCCCCCCAGCTCCACCGGGGAAGGCTTAAATGCTTCTGCTGCCATCTCCACTCTGCCCCCAGAAGGAGCCTGGTGCAGGGCTGCAGGTGCCCAGAACTCAGTTCCTAGTTGTAGCCCAGCAGAGGCTTGTGTGCTGTGCCCAGGCTCCGGCTGTTGTCCTCACTGCCGCGAGGGCCAACCGCTCCCTGGTCCTCCATCCTCAAGTCCCCCATGCTCCGTTCTCTTCTAGTTTGCCAGAAAGCACGAGAGCCCACTGCTAGCGACGAAAAGCCGGAGCCTGACTGCTCTGCCTGGTTCCACACATATGGCACGGACCAGCTGTGCTCAGCATTCCTACTTTGGGGCCTCCTCCGGCCTGCACCAGTCCATGCCAAGCCATGGCTCAGGTATGGGGACCCAGAGGTGGCTGCTACATGATCTCCAGGCCTGGGAAGGAGGGGACTTCGGGTGCTCACAGCCTGACATTCACTCTGTCAAAATGCAGGTCTCAACAACAGACTCCTTAAAAAGGTATAGGGAAGTCAGCATAAGATAATTCAGTAGAATTCTGCATTAAGGTAGCAGGAAAGAGATATTTTTAGGTTGACTTGGGTTTCTATTCCATATTGCAAAGAAGGCACTAAAATAATAGCTGACATTTATTAAGTGCCTACATCATGCTGGATTCTGTTGTAATCAGTGTATATGTATCATCAATGGTGGCACACGCCTATAATCCCAGCGCTCGGGAGGCTGAGGCAGGAGGATTGCCACAAGTTTGGGCTACATAGTGAGTTTGAGTTCAGAGCCAACTTGAACTAGATAGTGAGACCCTGTCTCAAAAAAAAAAAGTGTGTGTGTGTATCTACCTCATTTGATCCTGAAAACAGTCTGTGAGGTATTCTTCTTTGTACAGGTGAGGAATGCATGCTGTCAGATACTAAAGCCACTGTTCTCAAGAGCCTGCGCTCTTGACTTAGCTCCTTCTAAGAACAGTAACTTTAATTGATTTCATCTTTTCTGAGGTGACACCCTGTGTCCCGGCCACCCAGTGACAGTAGGGAGTTGGTCCTTGGTAGTGAAGAAGCCTTCATATAAACTGCAGGGCTCCCACTCACCTTTCTTACCGTTTCCCCATCCTTTTTCCTACCCTAGAGAGAAGAACCACTTCCTTTACACTCTCTGGCCCTCCCCAGAGACCCCAGGAAGTCCAGCGACACCTGTGCCCCACAGAGGAGCAAACCGCCCACACCCCTCAGCTTTCAGACTCGGCACCAGCCTCAGAGTCCCCGTCGACCCGACAAGAGATGAGCTCCGGAGCCCCAACCAGCCCGCTGGAGGCATCCTGGGCGGGCAGCCAGAGTGACTCACCGAGTGACACCAGCGAGGGGCCTGAGTATCTGGCCATCGGCAGCCTGGACCCCCGAGGCCGTCCCAGCAGCTGTCAGAGCCCCAGCAGCAATGGCGGGAGTAGCAGCTCAAACCTGTTCTCCTCCGGCAGCTCCCAGAAGCCAGGCTCTGCCGCATCTTCTTTAGGGGACAAAGAGGGCAGCAGGCAGAGCCAGCTGCCCAGCGCCCCCCGCAGGTCCAGCTTCTCAGAGGGGCAGACGCTCCCTGTCACCGGTGTGTCAAAGAAGAGCCACATCCGCTCCCACTCGGACACCAACATCGCCACCAGAGGAGCCCCAGGTCAGGACGAGCGGCTGCCACCAATTCATCAGCAAGGGCCCCAGCATTTAGGGTGGTGGGAGGGTTTTGTCCCTGCAGCCTTGCAGATAGTAGGGGAGAATTTGTGTTTCTGATGGCGGACATTCTGCTTCATAATGAGCCGAAGAGGTTTGTGATGTAATACTCACACTCAAGGATCTCTGTGCGTGCTTATGTTTATCCCTTTTCATAGTGCCTCTCCAGATTCCTTCAGTAGTTCCTTAGCCTCCAAGGACAGCAGGACAGTGGGACAGCGGGACTCATCACAGCTCAAGTTTTCAGTGTCTCTCTCGGGCTGAGGGAAAGTGTTAAGGAGCTTTAAAAATAATCCTGTTAAATTCCTCCCCGTGCTGTGATTTCTTGAGAGCCTTGGTCAGGATGTAATACCAGCACCGAGTGATGTTAGAGCTCCCTGATTAAACCTGGGTATATAGTGAATGCAGGGTAGGGGAACCCAGGGAGCAAGCAGGTGGGGTTGATGGCTGTGTCACTAATTCAGGCTGAGGCAGTCAGGTGAGGCGGCCCTGGCCCTGGGACACACGTCCAGAAATGCAAGGGGATGGCAGGGAGCGGCCTGGAGAGGGCAGGGAGTCTCTGCTTTGGCTGTGTACCCGCTGACATCGTTCCCGGGTTGTTGGTATCTAGCAGGCTTTGGTTGTGTTTCATTTGTGAGGCAGGCGGCAGAACCACTGAGCTAAATCCCTGGCTCTGGTTGGGTTTCATTTGTAGCAGTCTGTGTAACAGGAAGTACCGAGCCATTCTGGATCAAGAACACCCCAGAAATAAAATATTAAAATAAATATAAAACATTGAATAAGACAAAAACTTAAAGAATTTCTTTTAGGAGTGGAGCTGCTACTACTGTTCTCTCTGCTATTGTAGAAAGAGAACTAAGGGCCTCACTGAAACCTGTGAGTGACAAATTTGTATTCCTATTTTCCCTCCAGAATTTGATCTGACTTTTGGGAACTCTTCAGGAGAAAATCCCCCCAGTCATCACCTGTCTTTCCATGAGCTTCCTCAGATGTGAGGATGCTTGGGTCAGATCTTCTGGCACACCGACTGCAGGCCTAGCTCTATCGTACTCCTGGTCCCTGGCCTTTGTGCACAGGAAATTTCTCTGCCCCTGTCCCTGGGTCCACATAGACTCCAGACATCTCCATAACCTGCGTGGGAAGCAGAGGCACGGAAAGCCTATCCAGAAGGGTCCAGGGGAGTAGGGCCATGCATAGCTTTCGGTGTTGAGTTCTCTCCTGCCACGCCAGGGTTTCTTCTTGCAGTTTGTCCCCCTATGCCTGGTAAAAGGACATTTGTTCTCTTTCCCTCTAACCTTGTCTGCTCTGTCTGGACTCTCCTCTGCACCTGTCTGCCTGCAGGAGGCCCCAGGAATATCACCATTATAGTTGAAGATCCCATTGCAGGTTTGGGAGCCAGCCCTCCACCCTCTTTCTTCTGTGACCACCACCTTGCTCAGCTCAAAACCTCCTTTTCCAGTCTGGTGTCAAGTCAAGCCTGCCATTTGGGTCCTGCTGTGGTACTGGAGCCTGGCTATAAGATGACACTGCCATTTTGCATGTCTCCCCCAGCTTCCAAGTGCCTCCTTCAGTTTTCCCAGCATCCTCTGGGAGGCAGAGCAGGACTTAAGAATTCAGTTTTGCCAAAAATAAAACAGGTCTGCTGTTCGTCTAAGGGCTCGTGATGATGGCTCTGCGGCAGAATATTTCTTACAACAAACACTTACTACCAATAATGTACCATTCCTTGACTTAACACCAGAATGTGTTTCATGCCTGTCTGTGGTCTTGGATGTACCTGCATGATTTTTGTCTGTCAAGGAGTCCCTGGTTACTTTCACTGGTCTTTTTCCCTATGTGAATCCTCTACACCCTCACCCCCGACCATTGCACATTTTCACAGTGACTTCTGTCTGTCTGCTTTTGTTCCGTGGTGATGTGTGTTTGATCTGGGTACTGTGATTCATGGAGATGGTAACCCTGCAGGTCTGCAAGGCAGTGGCGAGGGGAACACTAGAAACCAAGGTCTTCTGGTAATGGGGAAACCCTGGGTGTGTTAGCTTGGAAAAGAAGGTGTAAGACGAACAAAGTCTGCAGAACCCTCCTTTATCAGAGAGTGTTTGTTCTTAAGGAGATGAGAAACGATAAGGTGTTGGAGTTTGCGTTATGAGCCAGGTCTGACTGGGAATCTCCAATGTGGCTTCCAAGACGTGCTATCTTACTAAGATACCACAGTAACTGCTCCTTTGTGCTCAGTTCTGTAGTAAGGAGCAGAGCCCACTACCAGGGCCAGCAGAAGCCCTGGAGGGCCCAGGAGAACATGAATTGTCCCTTACCACATGGTAGCTTTTCTTGCAAGAGAAGCAGCTGACCGGAAATGGTTGGATGTGACTCAGTTGTCCATTTTCCAGTGCCACCCCCACTCCTGTAATTTCTTCAGTGCCCCCTGCTGTACACCTGCTCTTCTTGGCACTGGAGATTGTGTTTCTTTTTGAAAACTACCACTTTCTCGTGGCCTTCGAGCTCTGCCAGCTGCTGTTTCTCCATCTTTTCAGGACTCCTTGCTGTGACAGATTCCCCCACTCCCCGAACCCTCCCCATTCCCAGAGACAGCACTTTGGCTCTCCTTTCAGAGCTTTCATCCTTGGCTCTTCCAGCATTGCCTTGAGGCTGCTTCTGAGGACATTGCTAAGTTTTATTTTGATTCCTTAATGAGCCTAAACCTTCTGATACTGTTTTTTATTTTTTTGTTTGTTTTCAGATATTGTTTTAAAACTGAATGTCAGGGTATCAGAAAATCTCCATGCGTGTCTTTGTCTTCCCACGTGAAGACTTGTTTTCGAAATTAGCTTATCAAGCGGAGGCCTGTGGTGCCGTACCTGTAATCAGGAGGCAACTGAGTAAAACCCGGTCTGAAAAAAACCCAAGAAGTAAATAAACAAACTAAATTTGTCAGGATGTTAGAAATTGGCTGGATACTCCCAGACTTGGTTGAGTTTCAGGGCTCAACCCCGCTTCACGCAGGAGACACAGTATGTCGTCGGTCTCCCTGTCAGTGCAGGCAACCCCTGTGTGAGAAGTCACGCTCACCCACCATGTCTTTTGGATGCTTCTGACTTAGGGTCCCACCCTCTCTGGGGTTGTGGGTGTCATTATGGTACATGTGTGTGTGTTATTATTATTATTATCAAGAGACAAGGTTTCACTATGTAGTTCAGGCTGGCCTTGAACTCATGTAGCCCAGGCTGGCCTCATACGTGTGGCGATGCTCCTGCTTCAGTCTCCTGAGCGCTGGTATACCTCACCTTGCTAGTACTAAGTTTTTGAACTTTTTTTTTCTTTTTGTGGAGCAGGAGGGGAGAATATGTGGTCTGTACATTTAGACAGTACAAGGATTACCTCTGGGCTTTCTCCGTTTATTCAGTAAGCACTAAGCCTATTGCTCTGGGACTAAAGAGTTACACAGGTTTAGGAAGAGGGCAGACACTTCCTCATTGTCTGGCAAGACCCAAGAGCATCCTCAGTGCACCATTTCCTGGCTCGGGAAGAGGCATGGCTGCTGCAGACCCGCGTCTTGGGACAGAGCTTTTTCACATCCCTGCTCCATTGTCCCACAGAGGGCGGCCAGTACCTGGGCTCAGGAGAGGGCATGTTCCGGAGACCATCGGAAGGACAGTCCCTCATCAGCTACCTCTCGGAGCAGGACTTCGGCAGCTGTGCAGATCTGGAGAAGGTGAGGAAGCGGAGAGACCCACAGAGAGATCATTCACTGGAGATCTGGCCTGCAGGTCTTGGTGTCCGCTTTTCCGGGACACAGCAATGATAGGGGTTTAGACTGCAGTAAAGGCGATCTCAGCAAGTCCTATTTATGGGGAACTTCAGGGAGCATGTGCTCTTCTCTGGGTCCAGAATACCACCCATTTATTTGGGCACAGTGGCAGATGCCTATAATCCCAGCTACTCAGTAGGCTGAGGCAGGAGAATCACAGGTTTGGTCCCAGTCTAGACCATTTAGATACCCTATCTTAGAGTAAAAAAATGTTTTTAAAGGCAGGGGACATGATGCAGTGATGGAAGGCTTCCCTAACACAATGAGGCCCTGGATTCCATCTCTAGTACTACAAACAACACAACACAAAGCAAAACAAAAAACACCCTGAAAATATTAGTGATTTCATCTTAGAAGGTACCCTTGGCAGAAAAGCATTGAATTGTAGCTACATAATTATTAGTCCTTTGATCCTAGAACCTTAGGTAGATACTGTTTCTAAAATCAACCTATATATTTTATTCTGAGGCACATACATGTAATACCTGTGCAGTAGTTTATGGCTTACAAAAAACCGTCTTGCTTTAAGACATTACATTTACCTTACTATTATGTGCACAGGCGTATGACTTTGGAGAAGAGTCCGATTGAAATTCCTGGGCATTCTTCTCTTTTTCACTTTACTGGATAAAGACTTATTAATCTTTGTTTCAAACTTTATTCCCAAGCCTCTCCAGCCTAATAAGATGCAAAGAGGAAATTACATATAAGCAGAAACTGAGAAGAGGAGCCATGTCTTTAATCCCAGGACTTGGTAGGCTGAGGCAGGAGGATCCCCATTAAGTATGACGCCAGCCTAGTCTACATAGTTCCAGGCCAGCCTGAACTATAGTGAGACCCTGTCCAAAAAAAAAAAAAAAAAAAAAAAAAAAAAAAAAAAAAAAACAAA